TTTTAAAATTTTAAGTTGCATAGAAGTAATGTGTTTATTTATATAGTTCAAAAGTCAAAACAATGCTCGGCTGGTGTGGATCAGTGTTGAGCATTGGCCCATGAATCAGAAGTTCACAGTTCAATTCCCAGTCAGGGCAAATGCCTGAGTTCCAGGTTGCAAGTTCCATCCCAATAGGGGGACAGGCAGGAGGCAGCCGATCTATGTCTCTCATTACTGATATTTCTATCTCTCCCTCTTCCTTCCTCTTTCTGAAACCAATAAAAACGTATTTTAAAAAGGAAGACAAACAATCTAATTAAAAAATGAGCAAAGAACCTAAATAGACACTTCTCCAAAGTGTACATACAAAAAGCCAAGAGACATATGAAAAAATGCTCAAAGTCACTAATCATCCAAGAGATGCAAATCAAAACGACAATGCGATATCACCGCACACCTATCAGAATAGCTATCATCAACAAATCAACAAATGACAAGTGTTGGCAAAGTTGTGGAAATGAAGACTGGTGCAGCCATTATGCAAAACAGTATGGAGTTTCCTCAAAAAATTAAAAATGGAACTTCCATGTGATCCAGTGATCCCACTTCTAGGAATACTAGAGGCCCGGTGCACTAATTTGTGCACGGGTGGGGTCCCTAGAACTGGCTGGCAATCAAGGCCTATTGGGAGGTTGGCCGGCCGGCCCCCCATTGGGGCCTATCAGAGGAGCCAGCCAGCAGGGGGTAGGGACCGCAGGAGGTTGGCCAGCCGGGGGTGGAAGGAGGGGCTGTGGGAGGTTGGCTGGCTGGCCCCCACATCGAGGCCAATCAGGGGGCCGGCCAGGAGGAGGGGCCACAGGAGGTTGGCTGCGGGAGTGCACTGACCACCAGGGGCCAGCTCCTGCATTGAGTGTCTGCCCCCTGGTGGTCAGTGTGCATCATAGCAACTGGTTGACCGCTCATTCCGGTTGTTCGGTCATAATGGTCACTTAGGCTTTTATATATATAGACTAGAGGCCCGGTGCACAAAAATTTGTGCACTCAGGGGGAAGGGAGGGTCCCTCAGCCCGGCCTGTGCCCTCTCGCAGTCTGGGACCCCTCGGGAGATAACGCCCTGCTGGCTTAGGCCTGCTCCTGGGTGGCAGAAGGCAGGCCCAATCCCTAGGTGCAGCCCCTGGTCAGGCTCAGAGCAGGGCTGATTGGGGAGTTGGGGCGCCGCTCCCTGTCATGCACAGAGCAGGGTGGATCGGGAGGTTGCGATGCCACCCCCAGTCACGCTCAGGGTAGGGCCAATTGGGGGGTTGGGGCACCGTCCCCTGTCACACTCAAGGCAGGGTCGATGGGGAGGTTGCAGCGCCACCCCCTGTCACGCACAGAGCAGGGCCAATCCGGGGGTTGGGGCGCTGCCCCCTGTCACACACAGAGCAGGGCCCATCAGGGAGTTGGGGAGCTCCCCCCTGTCACGCACAGAGCAGGGCCCATCAGGGGGTTG